GACAGTAATAAGGCCAGCAATGTTTTATGGCAAAGAATGTTGGATGGTGAAACATCAACACGTACACAAAATGAGTGTAGTGAGATGAGAATGCTTAATTGAATGTGTGGGCACATGGGAATGGACAAGATTAGGAACGAGGATATTCTAGGTAAATTAGGAGTAGCCAAGCTTGAAGAGAAGATGAAGGAAAATCGGTTAAGGTGGTTTGGACATGTGAACGAAGACCTACAAACGCTTTAGTTAGAAGATGCGACTACGAGATAGAGCCTCAGGGCCAAAGGGGTAGAGGAAGACCTTAAGACTTGTAAAAAACACTGTAAGAAAAGACTTAAAACTAATTGGATCTATCAAAAGATATGGCACAAAACCAAGCGCAATAGAGTTCTTGGATTCCTATAGCCAACTTCACTTAGTGGGATAAGGCTTGTTATTATTGTTGTAAATTATATTATTACCTTGATTTTATTTTTAAATATTTTTAAAAATAAAAATATTATATATTTAAACAAAATTTGAGGGGCCCTTTGAAGTGGTCCTAGGTGGATGGCCTATCCTCAAGGTCTACCCTTGTCTTGTGTTTTTAAGCATTCGATATAGAAATCACGTGAAAAAGAAGAATAGCGCTTAAAGTAATTTTCTACTTGCATATGCACTAGAAGCAGCAAAGGATGGATGCGAGATAAAGCTTATCCTATGATGATCTAGTGGTTATGCGGAAGCAGTGCAAGGATTTGTACATGGACCAGTTTTGGCTATACATTAGTGTGGGAATTGCTATTTGTAGATGCCATGCAATTAGGGCTTGTGTGTTTTTTTAAGCATTTCTATAGTGCTTAATGGGTGTAAACACGGATTTTCTATAGCAAATGAGACAAGAACATATGTACAAAATAATTGTATTGTATTAATTTGAATGTAGGGTTACAATCTCTTTACAACTTGATCCTCTAATTTGATCTCTGAAATGTAAGTTCTGTAGTGTTGTTGATCCAAGGGTCACGATGACTTAATCTTGGATGAACGGATGCCGCAAGGTTTTGGCTCTTGGCAATTGAGGAATGGGCACGTGTAGGGGTGCTTGGTGGTTCTTCACAAGTTTGACGCAGACCGCAGAGGAATTTCCGAATCTTCTTGACTGTTTGAGTGTTTGGGGTTTGAGTGCTTGGTGTGAATGATTTTCTGGACCATTTTCTTTGTCTTAGAGCCTCCTACTTATGAACTCTCCAAGTCTTGACTACGGATGAATTTGGCCTTACTTGTGGGCCTGATTAATTGACGAGAAAACCAGGACTCGATTTGTGGGCCATTTCGTTATTTGACTCCATCAATTAACATTTGATTTAATTAAATTAAAATCAAATAATTCATTTCTGCCAAGTGTTGACCCATGTCATTCTTGATGGCTAGTCCAATTTTGATGAGTCACATCCACATGTACGATTTATGAGACACATGCCACATGTCATGTATGCCCTGTCATGTCGAAACTTCAATGTGTTGGTGAACATTTATTTCACTGAAATTTTGATGTTTACAATGGGTTCTTACTTGTTTAAATTCTTCTAGATGTCACAGAGGGTTAACATGTAAGGATATGTTTGATGCAACTAAATGCGATGTCATTGAAGCTTTTAAGGAAAATCAATCATCAATATTTGGGGAATTACTTGTTCATAATATATTAAGGAATAGAGTATAATTGGTTAAGGTGGATTCGAATTTGTAAATGGTACCTACCCTGCTCCTTCTCTCACCATGGTTCCCTTCTCTCCTCCTGCCGACATCGACCAGGCCACTGATTCTTAATCATGTCTATCAGTAATGGTTTCAACAAGACCAATTAGTTGTGAGTTACGTCACAATTACTCTTGACAAAGACATTCTTCCTCTGACTGTTGGCTTCGACACTTAAAGAAGGAACACCACTTTGCACATTATTTCTTTGCCAACATTGCAAACCTTCACTTTCAACTCATGGATCTGTCGAACTGTTTTCTCTACATCAACGATTATCTCAAACAAGCTAAAGCTTTGGCCGACTATTTAGCTGACATCAATAAACTTGTTGAGAATGATGATTTTGTTGCCATGGTTGTTCGTGGGTTAGGAGCTGATTATCTCATGCTACACACGACAATTCTTCAATTTCTTGCATTGCCTTCTTTAGGATCATCGTGCCCAGCTTCTCTCCTTTGAGGCACAGACTTTTTATCGTGCCGCCGCCGATGCTCATGTTCATGCTCTCCTCGCTACTCACACACGTGTATTCATATCCCTGTGGCCCTCCAAATTCTCAGCCCCAACAATTTTAAAATGGGAGTCACATTGCCGGTTATGGCTTTCGTGGAGGTCGTGGGCGTCGCCATGGAGGCAGGTGGAATGCTCATGCCCATCCGACACAACAGTGGGCTGGTAGTCACAATGGGTCTCACGGCACAGCCATATCATCACTCCATCAGGGGATGGCCCCCCAGAATAGGCCTCAAGGCATTGCTCCTTCACTTGGTCCCTTCTATAAACCTCCTTGGAATAATTCTGGCACTTTTGGCCCTTCACCAGCAGCTAATTGGTGTTCTATCTGTTCTACCAATCAACACTCCTCATTTAAGCCTACATCCACACCGCTAGTTACCAAGGTGGTTCTCTTAATTTCTGATGGTTCTCTTTTGTCTTCTCCAAGGAATATCGACAATACTTAATTCTCACTCAGTCAGACATCTCTTATGCCGTCAATACCATCGCCCAATTTATTAGCGCACTTCATCAACCTCATCTTCTTGTCGTTAAGTGAATCCTAGGGACTCTTGTTATGGGCTTCTTTTTTTACCATATGAGCTGTGCTATTGTAGGATTTACGTAAACTAATCAACAATTTCTGCACAACTCGTTGATTACTTATTTCTTCACCATTACTCTTCATTTGGTTAATCAAATCAAACAGTTTAACCAAATACACAGAAAAAGATTCCACCTCACCCATAAGTATGTATTCAAATTTACATCTAAGGCCTTGTAATTTAGCTAACCTCACTTGCTTATCTCCAATGGATTTTTGCTTCAAGATAACCCAGGGTGCCTTGGTAGTTTCTTGATTGGCAATTCTGAAATATTTGATCTCAAACGGCACCTTGAATACTACATAGTACTCTTGCATCTTTGACCGTATTCTCTCTCAGCAGCGTCTTCTCCATTCTTTTTTGGGATTTCAAAACCCTTTTTCAACCAAATTTTAGAGTTCATGAGACTTCAAGATCGTTTTCATCTTAATATGCCATAAATCGAAGTTGTCTTCGTTAAAATAAAATAAAATAAAAAAAGTCCAGAGTTCATGGCTCGAAGCAACAAATGATTGCTTAAGAATCATCTCGTGATTTCACACTCAGTTGGATGCCCATATTTCAAATCAAATTAAACCAGCTCTGAGGCCTTGTTAGAATTCAAACTCTGATACATCAAATGACATCACAAATTTATTAGCAATGGTTTTGGATTATATGGGAGCAAAAGAGAGAGATGAAAGATTGAGAAAGAACACTCAGAGAATGTGACTCTCATGCTAGATTTCTATTTCATCACACTGAGCATATGAGCTCAGAGAACAAGACAAAATGACCGTTACAAAGAGAGAGAAAGAGGCTTACAATTTGATTCAATCTCAGCACTCAATTCTATTAGCCAATGAGCTAATGACATATGTAATAATTTTAGGCTTCAAAGCCACAAAAATAAACTCTCCAATAGTCTAATTACATGTGAAAATCAGGAAGTGATTTATATTTGAACAATATATTAGGCATTTGGCTGGTCATTACCCCAATATTAAAAATTAAACTGATGCTCACGACCTCCTTGTCTTCTCCTATTCCACCCTCGAATAAGCTCAAAATACCAGCAGCTCATAGCGCCTTAATTCATGCGGAATGCACTTTTTGATAAGGCTTGTTTTATTAATACTTCACATATTGTTGAAAACACCTCACATACTTAATACAATGCATATACATATTTCATTTTTTTCCCTAATGTTTTGGTGAAATTTCTCACTCTACAAACCTCTTGATTGGCTCGAGCGTTGGGCTTATGCGCTGGGTTGTAGAAACCGTGCAAGTTGCTCGAGAGTTGGGCTTTCTCCCCACCATTTATGATCTATCACTAAATGTTGGGTTGCCATATGTGTATTTTCAGGGAATTCAATATGGAGGAGATGTTATGCTTTCATAAAGCATTCTCCTTCATTGAACATAAGGGTCTTATGCTAGACAAAGACTGTTCTTGGACCGTTAAACAAATACTCGAAAATGAAGTGAGAGGAAAGAACGACAAAGCGAAGAGATGTATTTTTATTGATCGATACAGGACCACAGACGATGAAGAAAGTCTTCTATTTGCCTTGTGTGCTCAACCGTTTTGGCTACTGTTCATGTGGATTATGAGTTTCTATGTTGCAAGAAAGGCATCTATTGCCCCGATTTTACAAAGGATTTGGTTCCGCATTGCTTGACCATCAAGGGTTGGGGCGTATTGTCATTGCATATAAGGTATATAAATAATTTAATATTAAATTTTAATATGGTGTACTCAACGTTATGTGGGGTATTAATAAATAAACCCTTTGATAATACTTGGTCAGCACGAGTACTCTATAACCCTCAACCTCTTTTAAAGCTCATGAACTAAAAACGAAAGTGGTACCACATTTAACTAATTACATCTTGTAGAATATTTCACTTGTATACATATGTGCCTCTAAGAAAATTTCTATCTTGGTTTATATCATTATAGTTTTTAATTTCCATTATTCACTGTCAAGATATATTATATATCACATTATTTGTATATAAAAACTATGAGACAGAGACATCGGCGTTACTATAATTGTTATACGCTTCCAAAAATTAACGTAGAGTCTAACTTATTTGGTTGTTGGGTTAATTGGCACACTCATACTCAGGTCATTAAATTACAACACAAATCCGTATTGGCAGTGTTCATCGTACATGGCTACCATCGATACCTTCACATTCTTCTTATTCCTGTTCTTCCGTCCTCAAATCACCACCGCCTCGTGTGGTGAACCGAAATGCGCCCCTGAAGGCCCGTCAGTTCGATTCCCTTTCAGCAGGCTAAGTTACAACAACCATTTCTCAAAAAATTGTGGGTATCCAGGGTTTGGTCTCTCATGCAACGACCAACGTCAAACTATTCTCACTCTCCCATTTTCTGAGGACTTCATCGTCCAAAACATCAACTACTTGGATCAAGTTGTAACGATCAACGACCCCGATAACTGCCTCCCTAGACGGTTTTTCCACCGTGACCTCAGTCTTGTAATCGATACACCCTTTGTATACACATATGGCCCTCTAAACTACACGTTCCTCACATGCTCCATCTATAACAAAACCTGGTCTGCACCCTTGATCTCTTGCCTCAGCAGCGAGAAGAACTATGTCATTGTTGTGCCAACGAGTTTTTCATTGCCTCCTGATCAGGAACCCTACCATCGATTTTGCACTGTGATTTCCACAACTTCAGTTCCAAGATCATTTGATTGGCAACATCTTGAACTTGGCGCTCAGTTGACTTGGCACACGCCTGATTGCCGTTTTTGTGAATCAAGTGGTCATGTTTGTGGCTCAAAGAATGGCAGAGGTTCCGCAGTTCAGTGCTTTGATTCTTCAAAACCCGGTATGTTTTATGAACAACGCTGTACAAAGGAGTGAGTGTGTGTGTGCGCGCTCGAGTGTGTACTAAACCTAATTAACAATGCTATATATGTTGTATAAAACTATATATGTTACACATTATTTTATTTAATTAGTATCTTATAAAGTAAAATTGTACCTCAAGATCATACCAAAATGTTATTTCATGGAATGCAATTGAATTTTTGCAATTTTGCCTCAGGTCCATCAAGGGCTGCAATTTATTGCCGAATGATAAGCGTGGGAATTTCCGTATTGTTAATTGTGGGAATTGCAATTCATGTTCGGGACAAAAAGAGGGCTAGCAATGAGCCCCGCCAACCCAATATGGAATTGTCCATCATAACCGATCAACAACCTTCGGTACTCACAATGGGTCTCGATCGTCCGACCATCGAATTGTATCCCAAGATTCAACTTGGTGAGAGGTCGGAATTTCCAAAACAGCTCACTGACAACACTTGCCCAATATGTTTGGGTGAGTACCGGCCAAAGGAAACCCTGAGGACTATACCACAATGCAACCATTATTTCCATGCTAATTGCATAGATGAATGGCTTAGAAGGAATGCAACATGCCCACTTTGTCGGCTTCCGCCCAAATAATAGGGCTGCCTAGCTAATTATATGTAGGAATGCAAGAGATCAAGTTCCATGTCTTGGAATTGCCATCCCTTCTCCCTCAGTTTCTTCATCATTATCTTCTTTTGGCATCATTATTGAGTTAATATATATATTTCATTTGCTTGTATTGTTTTGTAATTATCTGTAGTCCAGTATATGTACGGTTTCTAATTGATTTTGAATTAACATATGAAATGAGATAGAAACGTAATTTCCACGCCTATGAAATGTTGTGCCTTTAATTAATGAAGACAAAAGAGATGTATATATGGAGTGTCACTCTCCATTGTCAATTTTGACCAAGGGATTTTAATATTTCAAAGAATTTTCATAATTTTATTATTTTCTAATTTATTTATTTTTAAATTGTATTCGGACCATCTTATTCATATTATCAAAGAAACTTTAAATTTCCTCATATTCTTGTTTTAGGGTTTATTGTTTAATTATCCCTCTATCCTATTGCTTTTGTGGATTTATCACCACAAAATTATCTCATGAGCAACTTTTTTGTTTTGTTTTGAGAAACTGGAAACTTCATTACTAGGGCCAAAGCTAAACATTACAATAGGTCAGACTACTCCGACACGTACATCATTGAAAATAAACGAAGAAGAGGTAAAAAACAACACGACGTAGCTAGATCTAACCCGAGCATCACCCTAACTACCATTACACCCACTACTGAAGAGGGGGACAAGGAAGCCCATCCTTGTTCAAAATCTTAACAAATGAAGATAGGAGTCAATCGACCCAAACTGAATTGCTCATCTTCAAACCATAATACGAATTGACGAAGTCAGCCGCTTCGTTTGCTGCTCTTAGGATCGAAGACCATAAGCAAAATTGGAAAGTCTTCCCAAACTCCAACACACAGCCAAGAATGGGGAAAACCTCCCAGTTACTGTCAGCAACATTGCCACGGAGCCAAGAAATAATTTGTTTGACTCCAACTCCATCACAATATGCGAAACCTTTGGTAGTCATTACTGGCCTTGATCGTCGAGAATAGTAAGGGATGATTTGGGAAAACTTTTAAATGACTGAAATTTGTTTTAGAGAAAATGCTTAAATCAATCTTTGGTGAAAATATAAGTTAATCTTGAATGACGCAATACAAGCGTTGAAGGGATATGAATGTAAACACTCGAAGGACAATTTTTTTCGAAATCCATCAGAATTGGGAGAAAACTGAAAGGTTTATTGAATAATACTTGAATGATGATTACAATAGGAGCCATACGGCTTAAATAGACTTAATTTGACCCTTGGGAAGTTCAGGAAGTCTTAAGGAATGTAAAAGAGTAAATCAGACATAAAACGGAAAGTCCGATTTTGTTACAAACTTTAAAATGCAGTTTTGTAAGTCTATACTATCGCTTTTGGCATTATACACGAGTCTTTTTCTGCTCGTGATTCTCTTCAAAACGACATATTATACGACTAGTTCTAAAACCAGAATATTTTTTGCTGCTTTTTCTATTTTGAATCCAATATTTTCCGACTTTAATTCTTCTTTTCCAGAATTTGAAATATTTTATTTTCTTTATCTTTCTTATTCGGAATTGACCCATATCTTGTCCTATATCAGACTCTTCCACTTGAAAAGAACTCGACCTCCTTGAGTTCTCCTTGAAATGATCTTGATAGCTAGTAGACAACTCCCTTGTTAAGCAAATAATTCTTCAATTCAAGAAGCCCAACTTCCAGTGTACTCAAGTGAAATAATCATGAATTAATTCCATAAAAAAAAAGATCAAATATGCCAATCGAGAATCAAAATATTTTTCCTACCCCAATTTTCTTGTTTGGTCAACAATGTAATTTAACTCCAATTTAGTAGATCGTTGATCCTCTAAAATCATAACAATTTCAGAATCACGCATATTTGAAGTTCTTGAGTCTCCACTTGTGAGTTGTCATGTTTCGAGAGATCTTCTTCAACAAGATTCTCAACAAGCAAAATTACTTGTTCTTCTTCTTCCACCGTGACCTCCATTGCTTATTGGCATAATGAAATACCAGTCTCCATCACTCTAGCTTCTTTTCTAATGATTGCTTGACCCGTCCTTACCAATGCCAGGTTTTGATAGACGTTTTTCCTTGTTGTTGCATAGACTCTTGTATTTGACCCCACCATAATTGGACATCACCATCTAAATAAGAAGCAAACATCTTCACCATTTCCCTTCCGGAATTGGTTGTCATGAAAAGTCTCTACATCCTCAACCCACAAGAGAAAACTTAGATGCAATCACTGTAATGCCCTTGCTTGAAATTTTTTATTTCGGAAACTAATTTTGGAGTTTACAGTTAGTGGTAGGCCTAAAATAAACTCTTGTTTACTTACTACCATTACTCACAATTTATTTAATAAATTCTTAATTTCTCATAAAATCTGTAGCTAAATTTATTTACCAAAAACATAGGGCTAATCTTTAAACTAAACACCCAATCCCTTTTCTTCTTTCTAATTTTCGATAAAGATTAATCTCGGTTTTTAAGGCTGCATCTAACTCCCGTTAGACTTCTTGAACGGGATCAAGCGTTTTGCAGTTCATAATTTCATTTCTAGTCCATTTTCGAAAATATTCAAATAGCGAAAATATTCAATATTGAACTTTAAGAATCAAATTACATTGAATGGATACTAATTACGGATTTCAAATATCGAATTCTATGTAAAAAGGCAATATCGGCCCACTGGCCACGCACCGCCACCGGTGTCAGTTTCCAGCGAACGAAAACCCAATTTTCTAACTAACTCTAAAAATTACTAAATTTTACAGGCAAGTAGAGTTCAATGATTGGAACAACTTTCATACCTGAGTCGAAGTCCAATTCAGCCGGGAAACACTTGAAATCACCCTCAATTCGCCAGAAACCCTTGATTTGGGTGTTCTTGATTCGACTCCAAAACAGCTCCGCCACCCCCAAACTTGTTTAGGGTTTATTCCTGGGATCAAGAGGATGCTATAGGTAGTGGTGATTGAAGTAATTTGTTTCAGAAATGGGAGGATAGAAGGCAAGAACCCGCGCACCCACTGTGCAGTTTCTCCCAAATTCAAGGCCAATTTTCCTATATTTTTGGGTGGAATTGGTAGAGAGAACAACTGGGTTTGAGGTAAGGATTATTTTGGTACTGGTTTCGTCGTCATCGGTGGCCGAAATCAAAAAATAAAGTCGGGTTGTGTCAAAATGTAATCAGGTCGATAGGGAAGGGTTCGGGTTCCCCTCATTCTCTCTTCTCTCCTTTCCCCTCCCTTCTTCCTTTTCCAACTGCTCAATCCCTCGTTTCTCTCATCTTCTCTTCACCACAGTCGTCGATCTCTCCTTAACACAACATCTAGCCACACACGTGGCACTCCCTCCCTGCTCCAAAATTGTTGAAGCCTTCTAGATGAGGGGCCAAATTTACAAAAATGTCCCTAACTTTAAACTTTAATAACTTCTTCGTTATAGCTCTGTTTCACGAACGGTTTTCGCCTACACGCTCGTGGGACCGAGCTCTAGCACATTTAACAAGAAATAATTTAATATGTATGAGTATAAAATACGTCCTCATATAATTAAGTAAAACCAACTAGGACCATTTTCATTTTTTCACTTATCGATACATTTTACGACGTAAATTATATTAATTTCTGGTAATAAAATTTTAAAATTTCTCAATTAAATTTTTCATAATCATACATCGATTTATTTTCGATTTTCTCCACATATTCATAATTATGAATATCAAACTCATATACTTAAATTTTTCAGGGTATTACAATCACTCCCCAGCAAAATAGGAATATCTTCAACATCAACTAAATTACATTGGCTATAAGCAAATCTCATACCGTGTTCCCCTTCAATATTTGGTACTCCCTTACGAACAACATTGCTTAGGGTTTTGCCTTTCTCCCGTGATCAATTACCATTAGAACAGGGCAAATCCTTTCTCTAAAACCAATTGACGTAGCACGAGTGTAGAAGGGAAGCAAACGTAAACCCTCAAAGAACAAAGTTTTCTAGAATCCACTAGAATTGGGAGAAAACGAAAAGGTTTATAGAATAATACTTAGAATGATGATTACAATAGCAGCCATACGACTTAAATAGACTTAACTTGACCCTTGCGAAGCTCAGGGAAGTCTTAGAGAATGTAAAACAAGCAAATCAGACGTAAAATGAAAAGTCTGATTTTTATTACAAACTTTAAAATTCGGTTTTGGAATTCTAAAATATTGTTTTTGGCCTTAAACATGACAGGCTCATGGATAAACCACGAGTTTTGTTTTGCTTGCGATTCTCTTCAAAACGTAGTACACGCCTAATTCTGAAACCGGAATATTTCTTGCTGCCTTTTCTATCACCATATCGATTGAATCCAAATTTCCCAACTTTAATTTTTCTTTTCAAATTTTGAAATCCTTTTTTTCTTCTTTATATTTCTTCATCGTAATTGGCCCATATTTGGTCCTACATCACTGAAAAAACACTTGAATTGTTTCTTGCAAGAAGCACATAACTGGTACTTCTTGCAAAAAGCACTTCAAGTGCTTTTGGAACAAAAAAAAAAATTCTTTAAAAGCACTTTTCCTCCAGATTAATTTCTTGGTCACTGAGGCTATCCACCCAATTGGCACATTTTTATTTGTTTGTAATGTTGGATGAAATACAACTCTATCATTTCTTATATAAAAAAATGTTTTCAGTCATTTAATATTCTGATTAGTTGTTTAACTCGCTAATTTGCTTCATTAAGGACAATACTTGGGTACTGACTAGCTAGTTAGTACCCATTTGTCTCACTAACCTATGTGGTCCAATAAAAACAAGACATGTGTTAAATGTTTAAGCTAACCAAGTAACCTATGTGGTCCATTTTCTACGGTAATCAGAAATCTCTAACTTCTCTCTACCCTTCCTCAATTTCTTAAACTTTCTAGGGTAAGATTCTTGAATGTTATCATTTTATTCATTGAAGTTCTTTTATCTCAAATTTTTATTATTTTCTTTTGCTGAGCACAAGGAGTGTGACAGCAACTACCCGGCGCATGAAAGAGGCAATTTCTTGCATCTATATACATCAAAGTCCCAAGTCCTAACAATAAGCCTCCTATTATGGAACATGAGACTTGCACATCAATCCATCATACTTCATTTAAAATCAACCAAAACATATAGTAACTAAGCACACATATTTATACATTAGCTTCTGACTTACAAATTAAAAGAACTTGCCATCAAAAAGAGTCAATTTATAACTTCTGACTCACAAATTACAAGAAATATCACCAAATTGTAAAAGTAACAACTTATAAATACTTAAACATGAAACTGTAACCAATTATGAGAGATACCCAAAAAGCTGTCTTCTTTTTCATTTGTATCTCTGGTAATGTTATAACAGCTCGGAAATGAAGAAAGCATTTTCCTGCATATATTTGGGTCCCAATGCCTACTCTTCGGAACCCCTCACTGACCAAACAAACAACACAAAAAAGTAACATATTCTAACAATAATCCCTACGATTATGGAACACAAGTTTCGTACATCAATATAATCAAGTTAATTAACCACAACATAGAGTAATTAAGTACACATACGTAAACCTATATATAAATGACCTCCTCCCTTCCCATTTTGGTATTCCACAGCATTAATTAACCAAACAATGACAAAGATCATAGCCATTTTGATGATACTACTGGTTGCTCGGTCAGCCATGGGAGATGGAGATGATCCTCCTAAAGTACCCTACTGCCCTATCGTCCTCGACAACTTGACCCCTTGCCTTCCTTACGTACTCGAAAATGAAGCGAAGCCAGCCAGGGTTTGCTGTAATGGCGTCCTAGACCTGAGCCACTCTGCAGGAAATAAGGAAGGTCGACAAAATATATGTGACTGCATCAAGGCTGAAGCTATTTTGATGAACATGCCTCTTGATAATTTTTCTAAATTTTCTTCTCTCCCTAAAGCCTGTGGCCTGTTAATCAACCTTCCACCCATCTCCAATAACACCGATTGTTCCACGTAATCATCACTCTCTAGCTCTATTTCTGTCTCTTTAATCTATATGCAATCTTAATTTTTTTTACTTATATATAAAAAGAATTAATGACTGATTTTGGTTTCTTTATATATTACAGGGTTGATTGAAGATTTAATGGTGAAGGAGTGGTGCTTCCAGAGTTTGGCAACTGAATAAATGTGTTTCCAATTTCCAGCGTGTTCTTAAAATTGGGATGTAAAACGAATAATTTGTCTTCTCTTTTCTTTTAAAAGAAAAATAAATGTAATGAGAAGAAAATAACCTTCATGGGTCCGTGAGTATTTTAATAAAAAAAAAAAAGGTATCAGTACCATTTAATTTGAACGTTAAATTGTAATGCAATAACGTTTAACTATTATACATTAACAGTGTAATCTAACGTCCACACCATGAAGGGCAATCTTGGTATAGTAATATATACCTACGTCATTTGATGTAATTAATATAATGTTAAATAATTATGTAACCTTGGAGCATATGAACGATTACGGTATAACCTACCATCCAAACCGTAAATAGCAACCTTAGTATAGTAAAACCAATGTTAATAATTTGGTGTAATTAAATATAATGTCAAGATAATTATGTAGCTTTGGAGTATAAATTTGAACGACTACAGTGTAACCTTACCTTAGAGTACTTTGTATGTTGACATCATTTTGTAACGGTTACGATGTTGTGCAAGTTCATAACGCTCCCCAGTAATAACATACGTCTATATTGTAACTAGCATGTCATTGGTATAATAACACATTAATTTTGTAATGCAATCACGTTGAAGTACAAAAATCTACCTTGACAATGTAACAAAACATCCACAATGTCAATACCAACCTCGTTATAGTAATAATCACGTTATTCTTTATCATTAACTTGAATCTTATCATAATTATGTAATCTTGGAGTGTGATTTTGAACCATTATAGCATATCTTAAATGTTACCGATACGTCTGATACCCTTTTTTTTTTTAGTAAGGTACCATAGAATTTGCCTTTATTGAAAGGGATATCTAACAATATTACATGTTTTGCTTGTGGATGTTAATTTCAAATTTTTACTCCCGTATAATTGAATCTGTCGCATTCACATTGTACTCTAACCTAGGTTTTGGTCTATGCTCAAAGTAAAAAACATAACTATACTTATACAATAAAATCAAGGAATATATTAAGTCCATGATGAGGTGAAAATTTCTGCAATTGTGTCCAGTAAAATAATAAGGTTCTAACTCCAAGATAAGAACGTCAGCGTTCATGATGAACAGTGCAAATTAGCATGGATGTTACCCACTTTACCTCAACTCAATCTGGGAACCGCTCAATCTGAATTTGAAGTATGGAGAATTCTAGATTTTCACTGTGTTGTCCAAAACATGCCAAACGCTTTCACTGATCTAGCAAAAGTAATGAGATCACATATACTCATTGTAAACGTGCTTGCAAGGTTAGACGTGCCGAATAGACATCAAGTTAACGTCGAAAAAGGATGTGTCGCCCCTGTTGGACGGTTGGCCACCCCTATTGGGCAACCCAGTACACCAGCAGGTAGCTAATCACATGCACCCACACCCACCCTAAAGTGTGGGAGACCCGTTGGCTCGAAGGATTTGTTTCCCTTGGAGAGCAAATAAATGGGCACAAACTAGTCAAACTAGCTAGGATCCTATTGTTGTCTTATCTAATCCATTGCATGAGGTTATTCTAGATTAGGGTAGTGTCCTGGAAAAGGCACAACTGCCTCCCGAGAGATTTTGGTCCATTATGCTAGCTTGGATGTGTTTTGGAATCAAAATTAGATTATCATCGACAATGCATTTGCATTTGCAGTAGCTATTCAGAATTTAATTGGCAGTGACGTCGAACCTCATTCAGTTGATGAATGACGATGTAGAACTGATTGGCCAAAATGAAAGGAAGCAATCCAGGTGAAATTGATTTCTTGGCGAAATGTAAAGTGTTTGAACTTGTAGTTTCAACTTCACCTAATGTGAAGCCCATTGACTACAAGGGCGTGTTCATAGGGAAGGGTACGAAAATAATGAAATATTGTGATATAAAGCATGCCTTGTGGCGCAAGACTTCTCTCAACACTCTGGAATTGACTACAAGAAGACTTATTCGCCTGTAATGGACGTCATAACGTTCCGCTACCTTATCAGTATAGTAGTTTTCAAAATACTAAATATACAGCTTATGAACATGATCTCAACGTATCCTTATGGAACCTAGGTACGAATAACTATAAGAAAGTGTAACACCCCAGGAAAAATGGAAGAGAAAAAAAAAATAGGGTTCCGAGATGATACTCGACTATGTATAGAACAAGGGTAAAAAGTAATCATAACTATTATATAACATTGAACTTTTATTTGAAGGAAGGAAAGTGCCGTAACAAAATTTTGATACAAACTGTAAGGGAGAAAAGTACTGTGTAAATCGAAAGGTGATAACATCACTAACATTATTTTCTTGTAAACTCTAAGAAATTAGGTCCACAAAGCTTGTTCAATGCCAACCGCCATCATCTAGTCTCATCCCTTGCCTGAAACACACAAAGGGGAAACTTTAATGAGCAAAACTTAGTGAATGGCTAACAAACAATCATACCACGAAAGAAATATTGGTCAACAAAACTAAAATTACAACCTATGTACATGCCATGCCATGTGATAAGATTTGACTTAAACCAATGCATGCATTTAGAAAATCCTCTCCTTGAAAACCTTCTTTAAAATCTTGTTATAACATATAATTCTTTTTGAAAACGCGTCTTATTACTTTAATTCAAAGAAAAATCGACGTATGTAAAAGCATGAATTTCATTTCACGGTTCTACAATCTACTTTATCATGTTATGAACATACATAGAATAATATTCACAACATTCACAATACAACCTGCACAAAGAATCTATAATCACGCTTGAATTCAAATTTGGTCAAACATACCAAAAACAAAACATAAACACAGAGAGGCAACCACCGCCGGCCCGCCTCTTTTGTAGCCGTTAAATTTCACATTGAAAATTTATTGTTTTTGATATAAGCGATGTAGAATACTAAATTTATCTAAATTACGAGAAGAGAAATTCAGTCGTAGGTGTAAAGGTAGAGCACATGCTCTAGACAATTGGCTTAAAAATTTTATACTTTCAGTTGATCAGGCAACAGCCCAACCATGAAATCCTTTTTCCTGCGTATTATACAAATTTCTTGTCTCAACTCTTAACAATAACCCCCACAATATGGTTCATGACATTTACTGACAATAATTAAATTTTAACCACACAAACAAACACCCCATTTATCTGAAATTAAACTTTCATCGCATTAACACAACACATCAACTTAACTAATCAATATTGAGCCCCAAATATGACTCGCCTAACTAAGATCATTGCTATTGTTCTTTTCTTTGTGACTTCTGCTTCAAGCAGGGGCACTGTGCCCTCCTGTCTGGACATTATGAACCGGTTGACCCCGTGCATCTCCTACCTGCTGCATGGGTAGCAAAGCCGCCTCCGGCTTGCTGTAACGGTGTGCAATACCTCACCAAGTACTCAAACGGCAAGGAAGATATGCGGGCTATATGTGGCTGCATCAAATGTGCAGCTAATATGATGGGGTCTATTGATTTTTCTCTCATTTCTGATCTGCCTAGCAAGTGTGGTGTTTGTGTTAACCTTCCACCTATCTCAAGAAACATCGATTGTTCCCAGTAAATACTCTTTGAATTGCTATAATTAACCTTCTCCCCTTCCTTTTATATATGGAAAGGGAAACACTGATTTTGGTTTTCTTTTGCAGGGTTTGAAGATAGAAGAATGAGAGTTTAGTGATGTTTGAATAGATGTGATTGTGTTCAAGGAAATTAGTGGGGTTAATTACATAGATTTGCAATGTAAAACAAATGTGTGGAAAAAGAAATTGCATTTGAAAATAATGGAACATGTAGATCATATGAATACCAGCTTGTTTTACTTGTGGAAGGTGAAATTGCTTGCATCTACTCGTATATTTGCAACTCCAACATCATTACTTTTTTTTTTTTTAATTTTATTATTATTAGACCAAACCCAACCTTGGGTTAAATGCTATTCTTTAGGTTTTATTCTCACCCCCCACCCCCCTCCAAAAAAAAAACTCAATCCAACCCATGCTAAATGTGTGGGCTAAAAGTTAAAAGCCAAATTCCTTCCAGGATTTAGCCCAGAAAATGGTGTAGGCACCACTAGCGGGACCCCACTCACATGTGCATGTCTCCCAGGATTTTTGAATCCAACAGTTGAAATTGAATATAATCAAATCTAACGGTAGAAAAAAGATCTAACAGCCCAAATTTAAATCCAACGGCTAAAATAATTTTAAAAAAAATTATTTAACTCAAAATTCACCCAAATTTAGTAATTTTTTAATATTTATCATAATTTAAATATTTTTAGATCAAAATGTTCATAAAATTAAATTATGATAGTGTACATAACTTTTTTTTAAATTACTTTAAAAGGAAAAAATTAGCCTAAATTTATTCTTTAATAATCTCAGGCTAAAAAATTTAGGCCAAAAGGGTTGGAGCAGAAAAACTGTTTCTGAATTAAAAATTTTAGATTTTAGCCCAAGGATTGGAGATGGTAAGGGGTGGAATGGTTCCAAACTATTACAATAATTAGAGGAATAGGAAGTTTCAAAACTAGAATGCCCAGATAGAAACCTAACACCATATCCACTAGGATATTAAACCACATGCATAAGTTGAGTGTGTGCAAAAAAGGGGAAAGCCGGCACAATTTTTCCTTGGGATAGTACTTACAATTCCAACTCTAAATTTGCATGCACATGTTGACATCTTTTGCTATGGTCAGAAGTTGATAATCTTCTAATAAGCAACTAATCTTTTTACGTGAAGTGATAGATATTAACATGAATATATATTTGTAGAATCTCTCTAAATATAAATCTAAGATGATTAGGTTTTAGAAGTCTCAAAACCACCTTGTAAAACGAATTGCAAACTGGCATAAACTAACAAGTCTAGCGGTAAAAATTCACTTCTAAGTTTTTTTTTTTCTTTCTTTTTGCTCAAAATCAAATTTCAACATGGCACACACTCAAGTGTTTTATTTCGTAGTGGCAGAAAATAATTATGTCTATGCATTTCGGAATAAACTCGATCATAACCAATCTTCCTCTCCCTTAGTAATTAACCATTTAACCCGCTAATGATATCGTTTGTAAAAAAAAAATCTTTAACAGAATAGCTTATCATGAAATATTTGTATGTGACGTTGGGGTATTTAGGTGAATATAAAAAAAATCTCTCAAAGATTTTCCGAAATTATTTTTCCAAATCCTTTCAAAAAATATAACATTAAAAGACTAATATACCCTTCAACTACTAAAAGGCCAACGAACTTAAACGCGGGCACAAACCTACCTGCGCCGCCATTGCTCTGCTTCATCTCAGTTCCACCACTCTCGAACAGAAAATCCCGGACTCTCCCTCCATCCCTCCCTCCCTCCCTTCTGTCCTCTTTCTCTGTCCTTTTTCTCTCCCCCTCTCTCGTACGCTCCAACCGTCAACCCAATAAAAAAATTCAATCCGATTCAAGATCCCATTTTCCTGGAGAATTTGTTATTAGGGTTTAAAGATTCCATCTTTTCTCCCTAATTCATTTCAAATCTTGGCGGATAGAGGTATTCGTATACATCAATGTCTTACCGGCGGAGCCTCACGACGACGAGCAGTATAGCTCGACGGCACCAGTACCATCCATCCGTCACTCACATCCTCCGCGACGACGACCGCAAGCAAGATGTCGTTTCCGAGCAGGCATCTGCTTCGCCGATATTGAATCAATTTCTCAACCAGAAGCGGTTTTTTGGAAACAATTTGAGCAGAGTGTCGGGTTTCGGCGGTGGGTTCGCTCAGGATAGGAGGATTTCGAACGCTCTGCTTTCGTCCACTTCGGGATTCGCGTTCTCTCGATCCATGTCGTCAGCTTCGGAGAAGGTTGAGCTGTTGAGTGATGTATCGGGAGTTTTATCCGACACTGGGATCGAAGGTTTGACTTCTCAGGTACCGGCAATGAGCGAGGTGGCGGTTGCTGCCGCGGATTCGTGGTTGCCAGTTAAGGGCTTGCAGTACTTTATTGAAGCTGTGCATGTTCACACTGGCTTGAATTGGTTAGAAAGCTATTTGCATATGCTTTTTTGTTAAATTTAAATTTGTCGTTGTGATATTAAACCAATTATTTAATTTGTGAATGATTTAAATTGAAAAAAGTAAAGGGAGTAACTCACTAGATGAAACCATAGACCTCATAGATAGCAGATCATAACTCCGAGTTTGTTAAAGTTAGTTGATTGTTATTAACATCTTGTTAAAGACGGTAGAGCTCAATGATAATGTGACTAGATTAGTTAGAGCAGTCTCTTAATCTATTTTTTTTATGAATTCACAGTTGTATGTTCGGTTTTGGCAGTGTATTACATTATGATTGTGTATATATGTATTGTGTCGGTTACTCTACAGGTGGGCTGCCATAGCGATAACAACTCTTTTGATTCGGACTGCCACGGTTCCACTTTTGATTAATCAACTTAAAGCAACCTCAAAACTCTCTGTAAGTTTGTTGTTGTTAGTGCATTTCTTCTAAACTTGTACGATCACAACCACCTCTTATAGTCTCTCAGTGCGTCATATTTTACAAGCTTTAAGCGACTGTGCTCATAATTTAGTAAGTGTTCATTTTCTCGCCTGGAGGTGGTTCTTCTGTTGACTTTTGTGCTTTCTACAGCTCATGAAGCCTCAACTTGAAGAATTGAAGCAAGAGATGCAAGACAGGGTATGATGTCTGGTTCTTCCTTATTATGCTACCACTTATTAACTTACAAAACTGTTGTGAATACATGTTAAATTGTTAATGCATCCCTTAGCCTCTCCTGCCCAGGTCATTCCTATCTAATGTCCTTGCCTTAAGATATATATACATGTATGTTAGTGGAATTAACACTGTCACCTTTGTTACAGCAATCTCTTTGATAGACACTCATTTTGTTGTGCTTATCTACTTCTACTTGATCATGTGACCAATGAATGTAATAGGATGGTGCGTGCTTTACGAAATGATTCTTTCTACTAGACAAATTTAGAGAACACCATCCAGGGCATGGATTGTGTTAGTGAGCTGTCTAGGAGCCTAAGAAATTACTCTTTCGAGTATGTTTATCAATGCTCTTTACTCTTTTATCAGGGTTCAGATCGTTCTGCTCAGCTTGAATTTCAACAGAAAACAAAGAAGCTATTTAAGGAGTAAGCAACCTTTTCTTCGAGACTAAGAAATGTACAGAAATTTCGTTGTTTGTTGCCTTCTATATCTGTTTTCATGTAGTTATGTTTCAGCTAAGACAGAAGTATATAAAATGAAGCTTTAAAAAGCATTACTTGGTAGTTACGTGATTCCTTATCGTTAGGTGTCTCAGCTGTAATAGACTTTTGGTCATAAATCTTATGCACCAATCAGAAATTTATGTACAAATTCTTTGTTGGCCGCTTTGAACTCTTTCGTGTCCTTCCCCCATACTTTGGTTTTCCAAATATTATGTTTTGACAAATGAAATATGAGATCCAGTGCAGTTAGCTGGGATAAAAACTTGTTCCTTATTATCCATTGTTTTTGTATTAATTGTATTCCCATCATTATGCCTCCCAAATCATCCTGAAAATTTTCATTTTATTTATTATGATATCGGGTTTGCAGATATGGTGTAACCCCATTGACTCCAATGAAGGGACTTTTGATTCAAGGTCCTGTATTCATCAGCTTTTTCCTTGCTGTAAGATCTTTCTCTTAACACTTCGAACTGATGAAGTTTGATTTTGGTTGTGGTCTTTGGAGGTCTCAATATAGCTTTGTTTTTGGTTTGGCAGATAGGTAACATGGCAGAGAAAGTGCCATCCTTTAAAACTGGTGGCGCCTACTGGTTTCTTGATCTTACAACCCCAGATGCCATGTACGTTTTTCCAGTTTTGGCAGCCATGACATTCTTACTGACTGTGGAGGTAAGCCAATTGCATTTTCATATAATATGTTTAAATTTTGTTGCTTTCTTTTAGAAGGGTTACTTCCATGAGGAAATAGTGTAATATATGTGCTGAACACCTGGAAATCATTTTGTTATTTACAGTAGAATGAATTTTGACAGGTTTCGATCGACAGATCTGAAACCAAGGCTTTTGCTTTCTTTAAATTTGGTCATGGAAGGTAAAGGGCATTCTAAATATATGGGAAAGGATAACACTTTTGAAAGAATAGGACCAGTTGTAGTATATGGCAGTCAATCCCTGCCCCGATAGTCTGTCAAGTTTAGGGTGCATGTGTGTGTACTTGTGCAATCAGATTGATTCTGAACCTTAGTTAAACCAATGGGAGAATTTATTTGCTTCAATTTGCTCTTTAGTGCAATCTGCAAGAAGGTATGGAGGGAAATCCTGCTGCTGGCACCATGAAAAATGTTTCAAGAGGCCTTGCTGTTCTTACAGTTCCATTTACCATGAGCTTTCCAAAGGTATCTTTGCTAATTTTAGTGGCTTCTGATATATTCTGTGCTATCTCTTGTCATTTTGTTAGTAGACGTCAGTATGGATAAAGGCACATAGTTACATTTCAGGATGTACAGTCAAATAGTTGTTTCATATATGTCATTAGCGACAGACAATTAAATAAAGGTCTCGTATATGTCTCCTGTCTCCTGGTCAATTGAATGTAGTTTTAAAGACCATAGTGCAGGCCACTTTTAAGACTATATGTATTAATTTAATTATGATAGTACCTGCACAGCAGTAAAAAGGTGCTTAAATTCTTTTTATGTGGTGGATTTGTTTAACTTTTATGTTGTAAACCGAAGTCACATGATGACGAAGGCTAATCATAGACTTTGAAGCCAGGCTGACTATATATTATGCTTGGTCTATCAACTGTGCAGGCTGTATTTTGTTACTGGGTTACATCCAACTTGTTTTCGCTCTCGTATGGACTGGGTGAGTCCTTTTACTTTATACTTTTTATCAACTGTGCACATTATTTGTGAAGCTTCAGAAATTGATAGTATATCTCAACTTATTGTGCTGAAAGTTCTGGTGCACTTTTCCCCGTTTACTGATTCTGAATTTTGATTTCAGTGCTTAAATATACTGGGCTGAAGGAGGCCTTGGGTATTCCTAAACCGCCGCCTTATACTGCACCCCCTCAAGGATCACAACCTGCATTTTCACTATTATCCACACTGAAACAAGTCGCTGAAGGGGCTCGTGGCTCAACCTCCTCACCTGGTGACGCATCAAAGGTTCAAGATCGAAGTATATCATCTTCGTCGTCATCATCAGTTCTTAGTCAAAGGATTAAAAGTTTAGAGAAGCAAGTGAAGGGAAGAAAGAGAAACAAGAAGAGGTAATGAGTTTATCGATTTTTACAAGTTCAACCATTACTATGCGTCTATGCCCCATTGATGGGGAGGGGAGGTTTCATTGCTTTTTACCCGTTTAATATAATATTCCTTAAATCGGCGACTCATCGGTTCACTTAATTAGAGATGATGGCATGTAATTTTTGCTCGGGAAGTTTGAGAAATTTTTGTGAAATATTTTTGCCGGTGATTCTGTGTACGTCAGCGGGACCCAACAAGTCCACTTGCATTGTAAAAATAAAATGAAATAAAACTACAGAGATCTTTTGGTGGTGGTTCTTTATAAATGTAGCTCGGAGGGCGAGAGTAAGTCAATCAAGATGTAGCTCTCAGTTTGTAGCCGTTTTAAACAATTTCGTTTATTTGTTATCTGATGATAAAACGATGTTCATGGTTATATTTCGTTTGTTCTTCGTTTATTTTCAACTAGTTTGTGGATCGCCAGACACTGCTCAGGAGTTTCGTGGTGATGTTAATCGTGAATTCACAGTTGCTTCAGTTGGTTACCGGAATGGACGATGTACAAATGGCGGTTGTGGCTCCGTCAGGGCGTTGAACGCAATCACAAAAAAAATTGAGAAAAATGCACCCGTGTAATATGTCAAATGCATTTAGGGTAGATCTGGCATTCGAGTAGTGTTTCTTGTGTTCATATCATACCCGATAGCTTAACGGGTAATATGATCCGATCCGAAATCAACCCATTAATATTATCAGATAATATGACCTTAGCTATTACCTGTTAAGAAAAGTATATTTTAAATCAATAAAAATGAAAATGAAAAACATAATTTGATCCAAAAAAAATGTAAAACATAATACTAAATTAGTGTATACATACTAAATTTTGAAGTTGACCTCTTCATGAAAGTTGTAAAGCTCTTCATTACGAGTGATTATATTTTTCACACTTCTAGAATAACTATTATTAATTTTATTAATTTTGCACTAAAAAAAAAAAACACTATTCATGAGATTTGGAGAGTTTTAAAAATCTAAACGACCATGTAACCATCGTCTAAGTGTTGAGGATGCAATTATGAACATTTATTATGTTTTCAAATCTTTAAGGCTTATACATTAATGATTATGAATTTTGTTTATTTTGAACTCCCTTAAAAATATTATTCATGAGAGTTTGTATGGTTTTAAAAATTCAAACGATCATATACCCATCCTCAAAGCGTAGAGGATGCGACTACGAGCATTTATGTGACAGCCCATCCCAGACTTTTCGTACCGTAGAGGTGAAATGACGTTTTTGCCCCTAATATGGTTATTTCGTTGTGTGGTTGTTTTTGGATTTTGTTGGCAGGTTTTGGGCCACACACACACACTCCCACACCCCCTCACATTTCCCCTGCCCTGCACCCTTGTCCCGAGTCCCCTTTCTCTCCCATTTCTATCCAATATGTACGGACACAACCAAAAACCATCCAAACCTTCATAGATCGAGGAAACAAATTACATATTCGTACTCGTGAGGTCCGTAGAAGTTCAACCATACCAATTTCAGGTAAGGATACATTCGTTTTCACGTCGAACTCGGGATACCCTGATTTGATCACTGTTCATGCATACGTTAATCCTTGTGTTTTTGGGAATTTCAAGCTTGTAGGAAGCTTGGTGAGGTCCTTAGGAGGCTCGGGGTGGTTCGTTTGAAGGTTTTGGATGTCAGGATCGTGAGTTACAAGGTTGGCCGGAGTTGGTGGTGTTTTCCCGACGAGATTCCGTAGATTTTAGTGCTTGAAAGTGGTATGAATTTGTTCCTCTTGTTGTAAGCTTCATTTTGGTACCAATTTTGTGAAATTTGGTTGAAAAACGAGTGAGATATAAGGTTTTGAAGTTTTCACGATTTTCCGGCGCCGGAGCTTCGCTGGAGAAGATGACGGAATATTTTGTCAGTTTGGACGGAATATTCCTAACGGCTTTAACGGAATCCGTTAAAGTTAACAGAATAGTCCTAACGGTGTTAACTGACGCCGTTAGTATGCCAGGCACGTGCCTGCGTGTGGCCGTGCCTTGACCGGCGCGTGGGGGCGTGTGCAGTGGTGGAAAATTTTTCTAAAAATATAAGGATGTTCCTGAGGTTGAGTAGATCACGTTGGTGTATTCATACACCCCATTTGAGCATTGTATGAGAAGTTATTTCTTAAGGTTGGTTATGTGTTTTAAAATTAACGTTTTTATAGTTGTTTCGCATATAGGTGAGACCTATCCCGAGGACGAGCGCAGTCACTCGAGGCAAGGGGGTTACGACCTTTCTACATACCAGTGAGTGGATTTTTGGTTTTCCGTATATACCTATATACTTATACTTTTCCCAGAAAGTGACGTGAAACATTATACGTTTATATGCTATGCTTATTGTTTGCCATTTATTTACGCATTATTAGTCGCATATGTATATATATGTTTGGTGCTGCGGACGTACAAGTAAGTGTCAGGTGAGTTATGATTTATGTTTATGTTCAGTAGTGATTTAAGATGCATAGAGAGCTCATAACCTGCACCCCAGGTGTTAGTGCTCCCGCCCAGAGTTGGGCACAGTCCTTCACGTGATGTTCACCTCCCGCACCACATGCTCATCTTGGATCCAAGTTAGGTGCACAGTCCTGTCGTACAGACCACTTTAGGTGGTTCCGACTCGTAGGAGACCAGCGATTAGTCGCCCAGCCTTCACGTGATCGTAGCACTTGAGCGTATATATATTACACCCAGTCCTGTCGTACAGACCACTTTAAGTGGTTCCGACTCGTGTGCAGGTACAATTAGTGAGATGGAGATCTGAGCTCTAGATTCAGCTGTACAGGTCACTTAGGTGACTCCGGCTGACAAATTACATGACATTGAATTGACATTCCTGAGCACTTGCATTCTATTTAGAGATATTTGACATGGCATATTTCCGAGCATGATTTATATATGTATATTATGTTTTCTGAGAAGTATACAGGTTTTACGGTGAGGGGTTAGAATCTTGTTTTGAAATGGTTTTTGAAAAGCTTTGTTTTTGCCCACTCACACTTTTGTTTTGCGCCCCTGCAGGTTCTAGTTAGCTAGCACTCTTAGTGGCTCCCCAGAGGATTTCCTCGGCATATCTGATAGATCATCACTAGTGTAGGACCACCTTCGGGTGTGTTTATGTAGTATTGTTTCTCCCGGACTGCATGTCACATCCCGACCTGGGGTGGATCACTTCCCGGGCCCGCTTCACCACCGTAGCACGATATTGTCCGCTTTGGGCTTACCATTCCCTCACGGTTTTGTTTTTAGGAACTCACAAGCAACTTCCCAGTGGGTCACCCATCATGGGATTGCTCTAGCCCCCTTCTCGCTTAACTTCGGAGTTCCTACAGAACCCGAAGCCAGTGATCTCCCAAAAGGCCTCGTGCTAGGTAGGGATATGAATATACATTTGAGGATCACTCCCCTGGGCAATGTGGGATGTCACAATCCACCCTCCTTAGGGGCCCGACGTCCTCGTCGGCACACACGCGACCAGGGTTAGGCTCTGATACCAATTTGTCACATCCCGACCCGGGGTGGATCACTTCCCGGGCCCGCTTCACCACCGTAGCACGATATTGTCCGCTTTGGGCTTACCATTCCCTCACGGTTTTGTTTTTTGGAACTCACGAACAACTTCTCAGTGGGTCACCCATCATGGGATTGCTCTAACCCCCTTCTCGCTTAACTTCGGAGTTCCTACGGAACCCGAAGCCAGTGAGCTCCCAAAAGGTCTCGTGCTAGGTAGAAATGAGAATATACATTTGAGGATCACTCCCCTGGGCGATGTGGGATGTCACACTGCATTAGGTCTTCGTGCTCTGAACTTTGTTTTCACATTTACGCTTGCACATGTATGTTATTACCTTGTGTAAAGCTGGTTTTTATTTAATCGTACTTTTATTATTATTTTATTAGCTTCCGCACTGTGCACATGGTTACGTTACTTCCACATGACGGCCAGCATGCCCTGATCTTGGTGGGGTGTGTCAAGAACTATAGCAAAATAACCCACACTATTTTTTAAACTAAACTAAAAATAACACATACTATTTCTGGAATTACAGCAAAATAACTCACAATATTTATGAAATAAAACCAAAAGAACTCATACTATTTTTAATATAGTAAAATAACTAATAAACTATATTGAAATTACTCATTATTTTTGAAACTAAGTGAAAAAAATAGGGATGACGTGCTCAGCAATCGGATTTCTTTCAGTGAGATCCTGCGGCGTAAATTTAACATGCCTTTTTTTTTCGTCTTTCAACGGGGGAAAGGACGGCATGAAGAACAAGGAGGCGCAAATCAATTCGAAACCCAACCTCGAACAAGACGAATAAAAAATCCTTGTATGTTGTCTTTCAAATTTAGAGATATTTTTGGGAAAATCGATAAATGGGTTCAATGATTTGAGATTTCTTTTTCTTTCTAGTTTTATGGAGAAATGGGTGTAAGGAATTGAGATTTTTGGTTGTTTCCAATTTCATGGAAAATGGATTCAGTTTGAGTGTCCTCCTCTTTAGTTTAATTGCACAGCTCTTTTCCTGTTCGTTTTATTTTAATTCTAGTTTTGGAGATTGGATTCAATAATTTGAGATTTTCTTCTATTTAAAGTCTGGTTATTCTCCAAATCTGAATCTAATTTGGACAAGGAAATTCAAAGACTAATATATGCACCAAAATGAAGGAAGAAAAACGAAACGCCAATCAACGCTTTGCTTGCAGGTGACATGAGTTTTCTCCTTCGTAGGAGCAAAACAGGTTTCAGACCTACGCCTCCGTATTATACTAACTAATTCCTTCGTGGGATCCCCATTAATTCACTTCTCCGCCACTTCCTCTATCTGCCGTATATTCAATTTATTTACCCTTGGCTTAAATATTTACTTTGTTCAAACAAAATCAAAATCTTAAAAGAGGAAAATAAAAATAATTCCAATTTTGCAGCCATGCCTGCCGGCCGTTGGAAATCAATGGACAAGATGGAGGAAGAGCTCAGCGTTTGTAGAAAACCAATGAACGAGATGGGCTTGCCGTCCGAGCACAGCCTTGGAGAATTTGGAGAAGGTCTCGGCCATGGCAATCGAGATGACGATGCGAGCCTTGCGAGGGTTAGTGCATTAAAGAGAGGAGAGAGGGGAGGAGGAAGAAGGCGAATCTGGGGTTTTGATTTCATTTAAATTTTACTTTTTATGTTAAAATAAGGAGGGTATAGTCAAATTAGGATTTGGTGGGATTTTAATAGATTTTAAAATCAGGATGTA